TCACAGAGATTGTAATATTCTCTTTGATACCAGATTGACACATTAGCAGATTTTTCTTTTTAAAAAAGGAAGTATTTGTCCATTTGTCTGGGAATACAAAGAAGATTGAGGCCACATGAATGGAAAAAAAAAACCTAATTCATTATAAGATAACAATAAAGGAAATAAAGGCAAAAAGAAAAATAATCTGTTTTTAGCTGAAAGAAATTTGAGGTTAAATCTAAAATGTGTGATAAATATGAGATTATCTTCTCACCATATTTTCTAATAGTTATTGCTGAGGAAACCAGTGTTTTGAGCTGAATAATGTGTTAGCTATATAAAAATGTATAAAATACTAGAGGCCTGGTGCACGGATTCACACACCAGTGGGGTCCCTCGGTGTGGCCTGGGGGGATTGGGCAAAACCGGCAGTCCAACACTGCCTGCCACTCCTGCCTGCCACTCCTTCTCCCGCTCATCCCAGCCCTGCTGCACCTGCTGCGTGCTGATGCCCAGTCAGTCCCGATCCAGACGCTCACACCGCCGCAGCAGTGCTCACCAGCCGTGAGCCCTGCATCTGGCGCCCATCGGTTAGCTAAGCAGTGCACTGACCACCAGGGGGCAGCTCCTGCGTTGAGCACCTGCCCCCTGGTGGTCAGTGCGCATCATAGCGACCAGTCAACCAGTCGTTTGGTTGTTCGGTCATTCGGTTGCTTAGGCTTTTATATATGGAGATAGTGCATACTTTGAAGGTCTCATTGGGGAGGTAAGACAAGATGAAAAGAACTCCATAGAGTAATTAATAGGTAATATTTGCTTAGTACTTGGAATTTGGAGTGTAGTTTTTACATACCTGCCGGAAGCCAGTCCATCCTTGCTGCTTGACACAGTCGCTGCAGGGAAGAAACATCTGCACAGCATATGTTTCAAGGGACCTGGCGTATATGGCATACTGTTCTTAATATGTTTGCTCCCCCTCTTAGCGCTATGTGTTTTAAACAAGCCCACCTCCCCGAGAAAGGTTGTTTCCTCAGGTGAGGATTTTTTCCCTGGAGTTAGGGATTAACAGGACTAAGGAAGAGAATAAATCAGTGAAACCCCCTAGTGTTACAGAAATACCATGTACTACTTATGAAGAACTTGGACTAAGACTGTTGGCAATAAATTTGGGACTTGTTGGGCCCACATCCCCAGGGGTCTGCCCACCAGGGAAAGCACCAAAGCCTATACCTCTGGAGACTCACTGACACAGGGCAGTCCCAGGGAAGGCAAGCATCGAGGATGGGAGGACATAACCTTTACTGGGTAGGATAATCTCCTTCAGTCACTTCCTTGTAGCTTATCAGTAGAGCAGTGACCTTGGAATAGCCCTTATAATGGAACACAGAGATTAACCTAGACAGGATTAAACTCAACAGAACTAAATTAACAAACACCCTAACCTTTGGAATAGAATGGATAGGGTTAAAATCAACTGGTATAAATACAGATGTAACAGGACAATAAGAACCGAAACTGGCTAGAGAACCTCGCTATGCTGATCAACTGAATGCTGACTCCATCCACACCTTTGGGAACCCCTGGACCTGCTGGGGCTGGACCCCAACAATACCATTTTGTAAGTTTAAAAAATACATTTCTGATTTCATTCTTCTATTGGGGTTTCCTTTGGCTTTACCTGTAGAAGATAGGATTAACTCTAGGATTGTGATTATTTTATAGCTTTACTTCAGTTTTTTTTTTAATTTTTCATTCATTTATTTTTTTCTGTTAATCCTCACCCAAGGATATTTTTCCATTTATTTTTTTTCTTTTTTTTTTAGGGAGAGTGGAAGAAAGAGGGAAAGACAGAGAGAAACATGGATACGAGAGAAACACATTGATTGGTTGCCTCCTGCAGGTGCTCCAACAAGGGCCCGGGCCAGGGAGGAGCCTGCAAACCGGCTAGGGCACTTTACTTCAGTTTTCTCAACCTTTCTTATGGATCCAACCTATTCCCCTGATCCTTTCAATTCTTTTATGATCCAATATTTCAGCAATATCTCATGGGATATTGTCCTCTGAATTTGCAGTGATTTTGCTTATTTTAATTTTCTAACATCTAAAGTACATGACTTATTATGGAAATAATACAGATTCTGACATATCTGGGCTAGAACTGATGGTAAATCTTTTATCTTTTCTTTTCTTTTTTAAATCCTCACCCAAGGATATGCTTTAGGGAAAGAGAGAGCAAGAGAGAGAGAGAGAGAGAGAGAGAGAGAGAGAGAGGTCAGTTGCCCCTTGAACGCATCCCAACTGAGGATTAAACCTGAAATTTAGGTATGACTGGGAATCAAACCAACCACCTTTTGGTGTACAGGAGACACTTGGCCAGGGTAAATGTTTTTTTATTTTTTTTTAAATATGATTTTATTGATTTCAGAGAGGAAGGAAGAGGGAGAGAGATAGAAACATCAATGATGAGAGAGAATCATTGATCAACTGTCTTCTGCACGTCCCACTGGGGATCTAGCCCGCAACCTGGGCATCAGAATCCAACTGTTACCTCCTGGGTTCATAGGTCAACGCTCAACCACATTCACATTAGCTGGGAGCAGGGCTAAATGTTTTATCTTGTTGTCAGATCATATGACCTGATTTATGGTTAAGAAAATATGGTCACCTTATCTCTTTGTGGCCTCCACTCCTTACCACTCATTTAGTCACTAAAACCTTTAACTGACTTTTAACTTTTCTGTTACATATTCTATATATTCAGTATATTTATATCTATATATCTATTCTGAAATTACACATTTAAACATAACCGTATTGTCAAATCCAGTGGTCTTTTTTCCAGAGGTTAGTTTTCCTTAACCTCTATTCAATTCTATTCATTGGCCTTTCTTCTTGAAATGTCTAGGATTCTAGAGACCTGGGAGTTTAGTTCTTTTCCAATATACTATTATTCTTTCTCTCCTTTCATGAATTTTCTTTTGCCTCCCACCACCCTCACTCTTCTAAATCTGAAATGGTTTACTTTCTTAGGGGCAGCTGGAGCCTCATAGATTTCTTTAAGGCTCAGGAATGTTCTTTTTGCATACCCACTTCGTCTTCTAGGACTCCTCCAGGCTGAAATTATTGCCTTCTCCCAAGCTTTGGTTCTATTTATACCTTCTTCCTGAAACTTGCCTTGCCCATAGTAATTTATTCTCCTTTAAATTCTCAGGCATTTGACCCTCCCTACCTCATACTATTAATAAACTGTGTTAATGTGTCACTTCCTAGTTGGAATGCAAAATCTTTGAGGATGAGGGCTGTACTTCAGCTTTTTGTTTTTGTTTGCTTGTTTGCTTGGTAGGGGAAAATGAACATAATTCTCAAATATTTGATTGAAAAAGGCACAATATATTCTGTGGTTTCAATACAACACAACTAACATGTACATCTTGTTTAGGTGTGCATATTAAATTATTTTCTTTTCTCCTTTCTGGCTTCTGATTATAACTGGCAATTCTTTTTGTAAAGGTACCACATACAACATTTTAGAAGTCATAAAGGAATTAAAAGTTCACAAAAGCAGGCCTATAGGAGACAGTGGGAATGGATATTTACAAGGCTGCTACATTGTGCCAGACATTGTGCTTTGCATTGTGAAGATTTTTTCCAAAAGACTCAAGAAACTGAAGTCCAGGGAGGTTAATTAATTTATCCAAGATTCCACAAAAAGTAAATGGCTATGCTGAGTTTCAAAAACCTAGGTCTGTCTGGTTTCAAAGGGCAAGGCAGTTTTACTATTGGATGATTGTTAGAATTAAATGACTTTTTTTTTTTTAAAGCACTATGCACAGTGATTGGCATTCAACAAATGTTGCTGTCACACACTTCTGTCTGGGGGTTGGGTATACTTAAACAAGAAGGGAAAAAAGCCGGCTGAATTAATTATATTTCCCCCCCTCCTGTTAGTTTTCCTTAACCTCTATTCAGAGTTTCTAATTCTAAGAAAGACTGTTTGAGCCCAGCCTGTGTGGCTCGGTGGTTGAGCGTGGACCCATGCACCAGGTTAGTCAGAGGTTGTGGCTGGATTCTGGTCAGGGCACATGCCGGGTTGCGGGCTGGATTCCCTGTTGGCGGCATGCAGGAGGCAGCCAGTGGATGTTTCTCTCCCCCTCTTCCTTCCTCTCTCTGAAATCAATAAGAATCTTTCATAAACACAAAAACAAACACACAAACAGACACTGGGATTTAGCGAAGGTGTAACTGTAGCCAATGTTTCATTTTTTTAAAAAAGAAAAGAAACACTATTTGATTACAATAATCCTTTGCCCTTCTTCGTGCTGAGGATAGAAAACATACCTGGCAATACTTCAAATTATGAATATCATGTAACAAATTATACTTATAAAAGAGAAAAGGGGTCTAAAAATTGTCTTATAGGAAGCCAATAATTTATTCCTGTAAACTATAATTTATTTTGTACTCCGGTTTTTTGTTGTTTTTTCATGAAGAAATGCTCTGCAGCACCGCGTCGCCGCCGCGGAAAGTGGGGCAACCCAGGCGCCCTTTGCCTCCCAGCAAACTCTCTGTGTTCACCCGAGGCGCCCCACCGAACAAACCCCCTCCCAGCGGGTCCCGGCTCGAGCGCGGAGGGGTGACCGCAGTCCCTCCGGCGGCCCCCGACATCCGCCCGCCGCACCTGGACGCGGGCGGCGCGCGACCTCCGGCCGTGACGTCACCGCACCTGGCACGGGCCGCGGGCGGGCTGGCGAGCCGGCACCCGGCGGGGCGGGAGGGCCGGGGAGTGCGAGGGAATCTCGCGAGATTTGCCTCCTCCCGGGCCCAGCTCCCGACACCTTCCCGGCCTCGGTCCGCGTCTCCACCTCAGTCTTCGGGTCGCGCTCGCTTTAACGGCGCCACCGAGAGGAGAGCGCGGGCCGGCTCTGGGCCTGGCGGGTTGGAGCAGCGGCCTAGAGGAGCCGCCGTCCCTCCCCCTCCGGGAGCACACCGGTGGGAAAGCCCTTTGTGGCGGGCGGGGCGGCCAGGCGCCAGAGACGCCGCGCCTTCCCTTGCCGGCGCGCCGACGGGACTGTCCGGGGAGCGCGCGGGCTGATGGAGGCACCTCCTCGCCCCGCCTGAGCTCAGGAGGGGCAAGCGCGGGGCGCCGGGCCGCCTCCGGGCCGCCAGAGCGGCGGCGCGAACAGCTGGAGGAGGAGCGGCGGCGCCGGGCTTCTCCCCGCGGGGGCCCCCAGCATGGGTAAGAAATGGGGGGCGCTCCCCACCGGCCGCCGGCCCGGCCCGGCCCATTCGGGAGGGCGGCGTCCCTGCTTGGTCTTGGCGCGGAAGGGACGGGGGGCGCCCAGCCCGAGCCCTCCTCCCTCCGCCCCTGCGCCCCGCCGGCCACCTTGCTCTCCCCGGGGAGAGGGGAGCCGGAGGGCTCGCGGGTGCGCCTTGCGCCCCCTCCCCGCCTCTTCGTGCGCAGGGAAAGGCGAGGGGGGCAGTGGGGCGCCCGGCCGCGCCTCCTCGCCCGCCACCGGCTTACTCAGCTCCCGCTGCCCTCTCTCCCCGGCCCCTTCCTCTCCCCCCCACGGGGAAGGGTGATCGAAAAACCTGACAGTAGCACTTGCAACTGCTTTATCTCCCTCGAGGCTTTTAAAGAAGTTTATTTGGGGTGAGGAAAGGCGGTCCCCTCCGTAAAAAACTCGCTGGGGGTGTCTCGAGGACCGGGTGGGAACTCGCGAATCGACTCCGTTCCTACCCAGGCGGGTCTGGGGGCATTTAAATATTAAATCCCCGAGGACCGGCTTGGGGTTTGGTAGGATTTCTGAGTGCAACCCTTGGAGAAGCAGTTTCCTGTTTGGGAATGTAGACTTCCTTGCTAGAGGAGGGAAAAGTCCAAGGCCTTCTAAGTTATTTACTGTTTTGCTTTAAAAAGTTTTGTTGGGAAAAGTTAGGGAAAGCGGGGGAGGAGGGTGGGTGCAGCCCGGTGTGAAAGGGAGTGTGGCTGAGCCGTGTGACAATTCTGCTGATAACCGAGTGCCGCGTAGGGCGAGGCACGATCTCCCTCGGCCCTTTAAAAATCAAAAGCAGTTTGAAAGAGAGCTGCTTAAAAAAATAAAAATAAAAATCAAAGCGTGCCACCTTTTGAAGCCTGAGTTTGCGTCGCCATAAGGCACAAGCATGTGCTGCCGGCGTCACCTTGATTTTGGTCTTGGACAGTCAATGAGGAGGGTGCTAGCACTGCTTGCAGTTGAGCGGAGTTGGAAACTGCTTCTTCATACGGGCACGCTGTTAGCCTAAATGAATAATGTATGAAACCAGCAAATGGGTGAGGAGCAGGACATTTGCAGCATACTGCTGATGTGGCTCCTCCTTGCCCACACGCCGTTTTGTGGGAAAGGCTTTAAGCATATAGTGTTTCTGGACAACTCGCTGCGCGCTTCTGTTTCCTGAGGCTTGTCGCCGCTTTCGTGTTCCCCCGCCTCCCGCTAACTTCCAGGTGACTTGTGCGCACAGTGCCCTTAATACTCAGAAGCAGGAAAACCTTTGGTATTTGGAACTTGCAGATGAATTCCTTTCTGATGGATTGGTTTTGAGCTTATTGGGTAATCGAGGGATTGTTCCTTCAAGCACCACATTATAACATCACTGTAATTGCTTTGAATGAAAATCAGACTAAAGTCGAATATGTACTTCTTTTCTGTCTTTTGAGTGGGAGATGCAGAATGTAATTCATCTTCTTGATGACTGTCTTAGGGTCATCATTTCAGATCTGTCAGGTACTGTCTGTCATGCCTGGAGTTATCTTGTGGATTGTATATAGGAGTGTTGATCAGATTCCTTTGCATTTTGATGTTATTTAAGTATTTTTCTGCTTTGCTGTTGGGTGTGCTTGCCACTGAGATCAATGTCCCCCTTCCCAACTCTGTTTTCTCAAGTTTTCTACACGTGTGGAGATCCTGCTTGTATTTGTAGTTCTGTATAAAGGAAAAATAAAGTAGACCCTTAGGTAGTATGTGAAAAGGAAATGAGTATCAATACTTGGGTATTGGAGTATCTATTTTGACTGTCCAGAGGTCTTTTCTTAGTGACTTTCATTGTGTTCTGGTTAGATGAGTTGCCAAATTATCTTGGTAAAGTGTGATTGTTGCGTACTTTCACTTTGACTACCCAGAATGTGTTTCTCGAAGGTAGATTTATTGGGGCATTTGTAGTTAACTTTTGAAAGGTATTTGTCAGATAGTTCCATATCTATGTATACTTTAAATTTATTGGTCCTGTAGTAATCATATTAAAATTATTAAAATCATTTAAAGGGAGTTTCCTCTTATAATAGAAATCTCATTTGCTTGGTTATCAGCAGTCTTTCTTTTTTTATTCCTCAGGAGTTAGGATATTTTTTACATTAATTCTAAAAAGAGTGGAAGGGAGGGGGAGGGGGAAAAGCGAGAGGAGGGAGGGAGAGAGAGAAACATTGATGTGACAGAGATATGTCCATTGGCTGCCTTCCACATGCGCCTCCTACACACCCCGACTGGGGCGGGATAGGACCTGTAACCCAGGTACATGCCCTTGATGGGAAAGCGAACCCTTGGGTGTGCAGGCTGATGCTCTAACCATTGAATATGCCTACCAAGGCAGCAGTCTTTATTTCTTATGCTTTCAGATGACAGGTTAAAATATTTACATGGTATTTTATTTGGTTTTGTCACAAAATGAAAAAATCTTTAATTTCTTTGTTTTGAATTTTAAAGCATTTAATATAAAAAATTATAGAACATGAAATGCTTTTGGTGCATTCCATATTGCCAATCAAAAGTACGTACAAGCCCTAGCACATGTGGCTCAGCTGGTTGAGCGTCATCCCATGCACCAAGATGCATGCGTCCAGGAAGCAGCCAATCGACGTTTTGCTCATGGAATTCTCTCTCTTTTTCCCTTCCCCTCTCTAAAATTAATAAAAACATATTTAAAAAATAAAACAATGCCAGTGTTCTCAAAAAATTTAAAAAAAGATAATACAGATGTGTTGTTGTTTTTTAAAAAATGCCTTCAAATTTTTATTGCTACATAATTCAAATTTGTTATTTTTTTCTCCCCTCCTTAGTCTCCCCTATTAAATGTATTTTAAGTGTGATAACTGTTTAATTTTCTAATGTATATAAATAAATGGTGTTTTGTTAAGGGCCTGAAGGTAGGCAAGGAAAGAGCTGTAATGATTCTTGATTTGGGTGAAAATAGGACAGAACTGCAAATCTGCTTCCTAGGTAAACTGGTAAAGCAAGTTGTGAGAGATCTGAAAGTTTCAGTTTGTGTTCTGAAAAGAAAGGGTGACTAAAACCTAATATATGACTGAAAGTTAGATAAATTGGGTAATCATGATGATGGAGCTATGACTTGCTTAGTTGTAGAGTTTGATATCCACTACTGCTAGGCAGATTGACCTCAAATAGAACTTGTCTTTTTAGGTGGGGGAGAAAACTGGTCTGGGAAGTCTGGATGGAGGTTCGTCCATATCTACAGTCAGCTTGTCAGCGTGAGGGATATGTGTAGCAAAAGGTAGTGTGTAGACAGATAGATGGAGTAGGGCAGCTTGGTGTGGGAGTGGGATGGTTGTTGGTAGCAGTTCAGATTGGCATCTTGGGGGAAAGGGAAGGATGTGGGGTTTGATAGTATGTAGGCCTTGAAGATCTAGCCATAGGGAAGCGAAACCAGAGAGAGTCCAGGTTTCTTGTGAAAGATACAAGGTAGAGATATTTGTTTCCAGGATGAGCTTGGTTATTGGAATTATTTAATACTAGAGGCCCGATGCACCAATTTGTGCACCAGTGGGGTCCCTTGGCCTGGCCTGCGGGATTGGGCCGAAACCTGGTCTCCAACATCCCCCAAGGGGTCCAGGATTGTGAGAGGGCGCAGGCCAGACTGAGGAACTCCACTGGTGCACGAGTTGGGCCAGAGATGGATGCAGGAGGTTGGCCAACCAGGGAGCGACCGCGGAAGGGCTCCAGGGCATGTCCGGCCTGTCTCACTCAGTCCCAATCAGCCAGACCCCAGCAGCAAGCTAACCTACCAACCAGAAAGTCTGCCCCCTGGTGGTCAGTGAATGTCATAGCGACTAGTCGACTGGTCGACTGTCTGCCCCCTGGTGGTCAATGCACGTCATAGCGAGCGGTTGAGTGGCCTTAGCATATCATTAGCATATTATGCTTTGATTGGTTGACTGGCCAACCGGACACTTAGCATATTAGGCTTTTATTATAAAGGATGAGCCAAGCAGTAAAACTGACAGGATGTTGGACTCCTGTATTTCTTGTCTTGGGACCACATTAGTTGTTTATATTAGTAGTTGGATCTATAAACATGATATGAATGGTCCTAGATAAGTGGAATGAAATGAGATCATCTTTTATCTCAATGTTTGAGGATATTCCCTGGTCACAATTTAGCATTCCCTTTGTTCATTTGGTCCCAGGGATTTAATGCCTGCTTTTTCTTTGCTGCTATCTCTTTTCTCATGAGTCAACTCCTTTCAGACCCAGTGCAAAGCAGATTACAAAGTTTCAGCATACCCTTCAGTTTCAGAAATAAGCACACAATTTTTAATACTGTCAAGTATTCATAACTGCCAACATAATAAACAAGCAAGGAAGCATAAGAAACTTGAAAGTACTAATTGTTGGTCCCTTGATTTCACTGAAGTGGTGTTGAACGGGTATTGGAAAGACCTTCTTGTTGGTTTTTTTTTTTTTTTTGGTAGTCTGTACTTGTCCTTTTCAGTCCTCCCTTGCACTTTCCCACATCATTTCATCCAGCTTTCTTTAGGTTTATGTTAGATGTTCAAACTTAATAGAGTACTTTATTACCATTATTAAGCAGATAGAATCTCTTTCATCATCTTACTAGGGCTTCTCTGACCTTAGACCTTGCTATATGTAATACTTTCATTTTTCAGTCATAATTTTGACTTTTAGCCCAAGTGAGGTAGGCATTTTCCTCTGGGCTCCTAAATGTTTCCTTCTTTGGAGTAAATTGACATTACTTCTGTTTTGTTTTGGATTTTGTTTTAGTTTCTGAAGGGCTCAGGTGCCTGGATGTTCCACTCTCTCACCGTTTTCATTCAGCCAAAAACATATTTACTAGTTGTTTGTATTTAAAGAAGCTATTACTCTAAGAAGAAACTCTCCTTTTAAAAAAGTCATTATTCTAAATTTATATTTAGCCTAAGATGTTGCTCTAGTGTCAGATATGGCAGTGTTA